GGGGCCGCCGGGCCCCGCCCCCCCCCCCCTGCGGCCGCCCCTCTGCCCGTGCCTGCTGTGTCCGTGTCCTGTGTCCCATGTCCCGCCTCTCAAGTCCCTTGCCCCCTATGCTATATGCCTTGCCTCATGTCCCTTGCCACGTGTGCGATGCCCCACGCACACTGCCCGTGCCCAGAGGACAGTGAAACAGGGCCCACAGGGACCCGTGCGCAGAGCACCTGGCACTGGCACCCTGGCTGCAGTACGGAGGGGCCTGTCCTCTCCCATGGAGCCATCTGGACACAAATGATCCACACAGGGAGGGATGAGACAGGGAGGCATCGGGCTCCTGCCTCCCCCACCTGCTGCTGCCCCTCTGCCCGTGCCTGCTGTGCCCTTGTCCTGTGTCCCATGTCATGTCCCGCCTCTCAAGTCCCTTGCCCCCTATGCTATATGCCTTGCCTCATGTCCCTTGCCACGTGTGCGATGCCCCACGCACACTGCCCGTGCCCAGAGGACAGTGAAACAGGGCCCACAGGGACCCGTGCGCAGAGCACCTGGCACTGGCACCCTGGCTGCAGTACGGAGGGGCCTGTCCTCTCCCATGGAGCCATCTGGATACAAATGACCCCTGGACACGCGCACATACACACCCTGCACCCAGCCCCCGTACACCCCCCAAGCACCCAGCACCCCTCCCCGTGCACACAGCTCCCCAGCGCACACACACATACGCACACCCCGTTTGTGCAATCCCGCTTGCGCACACACACCTCATGGACACACACACACACACAAACGCACACACAAACATATCAACATACATCCTCCTTGCACACCCATAACGCATGCTTCCACACACCCCATGAGCATGTGTGCATACACCCGTGCCCATGCTCACACCCCAACAGTGAATGCATTTACAGCCCCCACACAAACACCCATGCATGCACACACCCCTGTGTGCACTTACACCCCGTGCACACCCCGCGCACCCCCGCGCATGGGTGCACACACCCATGCACCCCCCCACATACACACTTACACATCACGCAGCCAAGCACTCATCCCCATGCCCCCCCACGCACACATTCACCGCCATGTCCCCATGCACACACACCTCCATGCACACATCCACCTCCATGTCCCCATGCACACACACCTCCATGCACACACATCCACCTCCATGTCCCCATGCACACACACCTCCATGCACACACATACACCCACCCATCCCCTTGCACGCCGACTCCATGCACCCCCCACACACATGCACAACCCTCCCACACTCTGCACAGGGCAGAGCTGCCCCCACCCATGCGGCTCATGGCTCTCATGGGCAAGGGGGTCCTGGTGAGGAGGGGCTGGGAAGCTGAAGCCCCCTCAGCCCTGCTGCGGCGCCGGGGCCCTCTGCACCATCCCGCCATTGCCAGCAGCGTGAGGGGAAGTCGGGCTGCGAGCCCCCTCTCCTGGCGAGCAGGAGCAGCTCCGTGCAGAAATGGGACCGTGCGGGCAGCTCTGCCGCTCGGCGCGCCATGGGCCCCTGGGATGCAGGGCTGTCCAGCGGGGACAGATTGCAGTGCCACATCCATCGTGCCATTGCCCTGGCCCTACTGGCATGGGAAGGTTCCCGATGAGGGCACGGGAGCCAGGCAAAGCTGGCCGTGTCTCAAACGGCTGCAGCAAAGCCCAGTTGGGCACAGAGAGGGCTGGGACACGCTGCTCCGGCGCGGAGATGCCATAGGCACCCCCAGGCAGGGAAGAGGGGAGATTCCTGCAGGACCCCCCGGCAGCCGGCCGCGGCGCAGTGCAGTGTGGCAGGGTGCCGAGGCGGGGGCCCAGCTCTTGGCGAGGGAACACCCAGTGTAACGGCCCTGGAGGCAGAGGAGAGCCTGGCCTCAGCCACAAAGCAGGGCCCTGCGCCAGCCCCCTTGCCCCAGAGAGGGCAGCTCTGAGGCTCCTGTCCCCCTACCCTGGTGTCCAGCATGCGAGCAATGCGGTCCCATCTGCCCATGCCCCACTGGTGCCCAGTGAGCCGGCTCCAGAGGTGCTGTCCCTGTATGTCCTGTGGGTGCCCAGCGCATCTGCTCAGGGGTCTCGGCCCCCCATGCACTGGTGTGTGTGGGGGCCGCTCGTGGCCTGCCTGCCTCTGGGGCTGCTGTGCAA